TGAGAGTTATAATAATAATCCTAATGCTATTTTAAAGACAGCTTCAATAGCTGCCTTGACAAAACTTAATAAATACTATAATTTTAATAAACACCTATATATTATTTCAACAATGATTGACTTAAGATTTAAACTATCAAGTCATTTATTAAAGCATAATAATATGGAAACTCTTATTGGATATCTTACTAATGAATACAATATTTATAAAATAAATAATAACAATTAAGCGGAACTTACAAATGAAGCACAAAATAACAAAAAATTGTCCTTTTATGACAAAATTTATCAGGTGAAACCTCATAATAATAACAACTTAGAAATAAGTAAATACGTAGATGAAGCCACAATTTCCAATGATACAAATCCATTAGATTGGTGGAAATTAAATAAAAATAGATATCCAGTATTATCAAAAATTGCCAGAGATTATCTAGCAATTCCGGCCACCTCATCTAGCTCTGAAAGGGCTTTTTCAGAAGGACCGTATGTTATAACAGACCAACGTTGTTAACTAGATGAGCATACTATACAAGCTTGCCTGTGCCTAAAAAGTTGGATGCGCATGCAAGATTCTTCTTAAATACATAAAATTATTTCCTCTTCTTATATTAAAATTATATCATTCTTTTGCATTATATTTTGTATAAATAGACAGTTATGTTACATTTTTAGTTTACTTATTTTGCTATGTTCTTTGTGATAAATAAAATGGTTCAAAATCAATACGTTTATTATTGTTGATACAAAAAATACATGATTAAATCAAAATTTTTTATATTCACATCACCTAATAAATTCCTAGTTTAAAAAAAGAATTTGAATTCAGTAAAATTTTGAGAGTTGGTTCTTAGTCCTGATTTATGGTATCATGATTTTTTTTCCCATGTTTATTTAAAATTAGAAATTAAGGGTTTTATAATCACTATTTCTATTCTTTAAATCAGTAATTTGAATTTAAACCAATACCATTATAAACCAATAGTTACCAATATAAACCAATACCAATAGCAATATCAATACAAGAAATAGAAAATATTGTTTAAACCAATACCAATATTTTAGACCCAATACCAATACCAATACAATATTTTGTTAATATTGGGTTTTTACTATTGGTTCCCAGCCCTACTCGTGAGTCTTTAAACTTATTTTTTTTATTAGTGCAACCATTGAGTGCAACTCTTCAAATCTATAATTTTAAAACTACAAAAACAAAGGTAAAATGTTTTATATTCTCATATATAATATTAATATGATATATTATAGAATTATTAATAATTAATGAAATATTTAGAGATATATAAGGATCATTATATTTTAATCATACTATATAACTGGTATAATAATTTATTGATGTTTATTTAAATAAATATGATTGCAATATTTTATAGATGCCTCGGAAAACTTACAACATCTGGAAACATTTTATTAAAGATACAGCTAATGTAAGGGTATAGATCAATATGCAAATATTGTCAATTGACATATAATTTCCCAAATTCGACAAAGATGTTTCACCTTATCAAAATATGTCAAAGGTATATTAACAGTTTACAATTTAATGAAGTTGATAATAATTCTACTGAAGAGGATATTATAGTATGTAGACCAGATTCCAGTAATCCTATAAAAATACATAAATAAAACCATTCTAAATACTTTTAAAGAAAATACCAATAATTTTAATAATGTATCAGGCATATCTAAAATTAAAAATTGTTTTGACATTGTAATTGAACAAAATCAAACACAACTTGGCAGTACTGCATTAGCTATTTTTATGGCAAATTGCCCTTTTCATTTAGTTGAAAATAAATATTATATCAATTTTTTAAAATTAATGCGCCCAGCCTATAAAATTCCATCTAGATATACAATTAGTAAACATTATTAGATTTTGAATATAGTAAACTGACAAATATTATCAACAAATTCGAAACTTTAAAAAATTTTACTGATGGCTGGACAAACATTCATGGAGAGTCCATCATTAATTTCATAATTATGACTCCAGAATCCATTGACACAAGATCTAGTGCTCACACTGATGATTATATCGCATCTGAGCTGATCAAAGTAATTGAAGAAATTGGTAGTAAAAATTTATCTCACTAGTAACTGATAATGCAAAGAATATGAAAAAGGCCTGGAGTCTTGTTAAGGCAAAATATAATTATATTGAATGCTTTGGATGTGCCGCACATGGCTTGAATCTGCTTATTAAAGATTTATGCCAAATAAGTTTTATTAAAAAGATCTTCATAAAAACCAAACAATTAATTAAATATATAAAATTTAATGGTATTTTATTGGCAACTTTTAAAGAAAGGCAAATATTGAAAGAATATAAATCTTCCTTAAAAATTTCAAGTCCGACAAGATAGGGAGGTTTTGTTATAATGTTGCCAAGTGTTGTGAAAAATAAGGAAGTTTTGCAAGAAATTGCAATTTCAAGTTTATTTATAGACAAACAAAGAAGGTAAATTATATTAGACAAAGAAGGATACTGGGATAAATTAAAGTCTGTACTGACTTTTTTGTAATTTATTTATAACAAAATTATAATTGTAGAATCGGATACAGCGGTATTATCTGAAGTATCAAAAATATTTTGGGATATAAAAAGCATCAATTTTTAATTTTAATGAAAATGATTTGAAAAGTGTTAAGATGCATATTAATAAACAACGAAAGAAATTTTGATGCCGAGAATATCATTATGCAACGAATCTTCTAGATCCTAGATATTATGGTGTGAAATTAATGGACAGTAGCTTTAAGTTTAATAAATATTATTTCAGGCCAAATTAATTGCGATATTGGAAAAATTATGGATAATTTAGCAGAATATCTTTCAAACAAAATTTCTATAAAGGAGCTGGCATATGGGAGAGCTCGATCCATACCAAACCACTCATAAGGTGAAAAGGGTTTTGTGCAAATCAACCCCTTTATCAAGTGACAGTAAGATGTTTTTCGATACCACCTCGCCAGAAAGAGTCTGGTCCGCATTAGGAAATTCATTCCGAGAAATAGAATAAAGAATAAAAGAGTAGAAAAATTAATATCAATCCTGCATAACATACATTTAAAGAATCACACAAATACATCATGTTCAGGAATCAATATCAATTGATAATGATGATATTTCAATTGCATCCCATGAAGATGTTGATGCTATTTCATTAGCATCCCATGAATTTTAAATGTATTTTATAATACATGCTTCTTGTAATTAATAAAGTTATTCAGTAAAAAGATAAAATATTTACAGTTTATTTATGTCTTTATTGTTTAAAATTTTATTTTCCCTTAGTTCCCCAAATTTAATAAAATTATTCAATAAAAAAAATTGAAAGGTTAAGTGTATTTTGTGGTTATTTATTAATTTTCCGTTATTTACCCAATTTCCCCGGGAAATTGACATCTCTAGATATAAGAATTAAGCATTTTAGGTGTGATAATCAAAATTTAAGTGATATCATAAATTTCAGAAGTAAAAGAAGCGGTAATTTAATAACCAAGGTGTGTGGAAAACAGTTACTTTTGTAAAAACAATCAGATATCGGCCTAAAGGAATGGGCTTTGCCCACTTTAAGCATGTGTCTAATATCTTACTAATAATTTCTAGTTATACTTCTTTTTCAGAAAGAAATTGGTCGGTTTAAGATAATATTCATACGAAGAAAAGATATCGATTGAAGACTTCGACAACCAGAAAATTGGTAAGAGTATATCATAACCTAAGATTGATTAAAAATATTAAAGAAAATGATAATATTGAATATAAATCAGAACAAGACTCTGCCATGGAGAGCGACACATTTATAGAATTTAAAAAAATATAATTTAATATTACAATATTCATTTTTTTACTATTATTTATTTATATAAGGTAAATATTGTTTTAAAAAATATTTATTTGAATTTGACCGGACAAATACACAACCCTGTTTTATATTAATTATATCCATTTGTCAACTATAAATAAATTACTATTGCATTCGCGGCAATATCTATGCGATATTGCTTTCGTTATAATGCATTCGCGATAATTTTTTGCGGTAATTTTTCGCGGTAATGGCATAATGCATTCGCGATATTATTTTCGTGGTACTATGTTCGCTCTAAGGCTTTGTCTTCGCTAGCAATTAAAATTCGCATATTTTTGTAAACAATATAAAAAGATATTAGTATCTTCGCAAATATTTGATGCGCATCAATAAAAAAGCATTATTTTATTTTTACAAAATGAGCGTATACGAGCATTGTTAATTGCTTGCGAAGACGTAGCCTAATGCATTAACATAATTTTTTCGCAATAATGCATTAGCGGCTGCATTATTTTTTTTATAAATGCAATCGCGATAATTTTTCGTTGTTATACATTCTCTATAATGCATTCGAGATGAAGTTTTGGCAGTAATGCATTGACGATATTATTTATTCACTTTTAATTTTTATATGTAATATATAAAATTCGCGATTTGAAATATTCGACCAGGCCCGGGTATTTAAAAAGAATTTATGACCAGTCAGGGTATTTTTGAAAAAAATTTTGGCCCAGCCCGGAGAAAAAAATTTTGATAACAAATTAATAGGCTATAAAAGAAGTAAACAATTGATTATATATAGAAAAAAAAAGATTCCCTTATACTGGGTTTCATGATATTATAGTGTGCAGCTTTACCTATTTAGTTTTCATATAAATATATAAAATTGTTGAAAATAGATTATCGATTGAGCAAGTTTGAAAAATTTTGCCCAACTTTTTAAATCGAACTTTCTTTAATTAAAGATATTTTTTTTTAGATATTTCATTCCTATCCTAAAAGAGATTATTTGGGCATATTGAGCGAGACAAACATGATGAAGGTGGTAAAGTAGGAAATAAAAAGAATGGGGCACATCGATGATTTGAGAGAACTGGCCTGCCCCAGATAAATATCAATTATCAGAAAAGGAAAAAATATATAATTTATAAATAAATAAAAAACCTGAACGTTAATTTTGAATTTCTTGGTGGCGTAAAGAATTTTGCAGGCTTCGAGATTACCAAATTTGGCGGCTATATGGAAAGCCGTTAGGCCATCTTCGTCCTTAAAAAATAAATTATTTCTGGTATAAATCCCAATATTCAAGCATCAAAAGTAGCAACTACTGATAGTTTATGAATGAACGGATAAAAAGTAAGTTCTTACTTAAATTAATAGATAAGTCTACCCTCGGTATTTAAAGATCCTATAATATATCTATGTGAGATTTTACCTTTTTTTTATATTTCATCTTAACAATAATGATAACCATTTTTTACATTAATTTTAAAAAAATTCTTCAAACTTGTATTTTTTTATTTCATCATTATTATTCAATTTCATCAATTATTCCATTTCATCATTATTATTTTGTATAACATGTGAGAAGAGATAATGCATATCCCTGAAGTTGTCAAAGTCACCCGCCAGTTGACATGGACCAATAACTATAAAATTATCAAAATTGTGGGAAGTCTCTAGAGCAAAGATTTTCGGTTAAACACCGTAATCGTTCGATAATTACCATAGATATTAAAGATAGGAAGCGGAAGATTTGTCTTTGAAAATTTTATTCAAAATGTTCCTTTGAAAAGATTTTTTAACGAGAAATGCAAGAAAATAAAAAAAGGTTAAAAAATAAAACAAATGGTTGCACCACAGATATTCGAGAGAGAACAGCCCTCGGCACCTGGGTTAGTCAATTACGTTGCCCCACGATCAACACAATTGACAATTTTGGGACAGGAAATAAAAGCATTAACAAATTCCCTAAGTTCACCATGATATCGGTCCTGGGGCCATTTAATTTTTCGCTTGTAAGCTTGCTCGCAATTCCTATTGGAAACCTAATAAAAGGGACCCTTTATCTATATTCAAATGTAAATTTCTCTAAGTAAAGGCATATAGGCTAAACTATTTCGCTCCAGTTTTAGGCCACGGGTACTAAAAGGAAAACAGCAGACCCTAGCACCTGGGATAGAAGGTTAGGTTAAGAGTGGAGTAGAACAGACCCTACCTCTTGGTCGATAGTTCAATTGGCTTGTATTATTTTCTTTTTTACTCCCTTTTAGATTTTAATATGTAATCCAAGAAAAAATAGTTTTTATTTCTGTTTTTCTGCTAAGGTTTTAATAACCTCAACATTATTATTATCGTAAGTAGTTCATGTAATTATTAAGCCTTGTGGGTTTTTATTATTATTTGTTACGGTTGTTACCATTAGATAATTATTTTATTGCAATAATATTATGCAAATAATCGCATTTGATAATATGTAAATTAAATTGGTTTATATTTTATACTACTTGATAGATTGGATTTTTTTTCATATATAGAGAAATATGTTACATGAAAACAACAATTTTGTTCAATAAGATAAAAGATTATTTTGATTAATTCCTTCTTATAAAGACTTAACAATTTCCTTTTAACATAAATATTATTTCAAAAAAATTCAATAAAAATGGTATTCTGTATAATTTTTCCATTTCATATTCTTCAAAAATATATAATACAATATAATAATGAAAATATAACATTAATTTTTCGGCTCTCACTTTTTATTTAATCTCTAAGCATTTCATGTTTTAACTCTTTATAGAGAAAAAATATATATTATGTAAACATTTACGAGGAATAAGAAAAAGTATTACTCATTTATAACAAAAATTTAAGTGTAGAATGTATACCTGATCTTTGATACAAGCGCCGGCCTTAATCAAATATTCGATCTGTTTCACGTAATTATTGGAAGCTGCCATCATTAGTGGCGTGCATAAATAATCATTTTTCGCGTTTAGATCAGCTCCTGTCTACATTAAAATAACCACACAAAATTATTATAACCCTTTGGACAGCAAATAAATATTTTATTTTAGGGGAGACCGGGGTACGTTGTGTACAGTGGAACATTAGGTCACTCCAATTATAATTTAAGCTATTATTTTATAAGACTGGAAATTTGAGCCTAACATAGATAAATACGTCATATATAATTGGCTAGTATTTTAATTTTTACAGAAGAAAATGTTTTTAGCATACCAAAAGTGATAAAAAATAATTGTAAACCTTATCGTTTATACTTTTAAAATCTTAATAAATAAATTTTAGGAAAATTTACCCTATTTTTCAATCTGACAAACTATCAGAAACATGAATTTATATGATTTTGAATATTTATGAAGTTAGTGAGTTCGGTCATAGTTGGTTATAGTATAGTTGAAACACACCATTTTTGCTAATTTTATCATTCACTGTTATGCGAAATTACATTAAAAAGATAGGAACATCTTCAGTAGAGAAGATAAGAAAACCCCTTAAATTTGTATACGAAAACCTCAGTCAGAGAGTTATCATTACTTACAGCTGGATTATTTATATTATTAAATATATTTTTTTAGGCATTCCAAAATTAAACATAGCAAGGTAAATATCAAAAAAGAAGAAAGAGGGAAATAATATGTTACCTACAATGGGATATTCACATCATAAATATGTTTTCAATAAAGTGGAGGAAGATAATATTGCTAATTACATATTACATCTAAAAAAATTTATAGACTGACCAAAAAAAAGGTAAACAAGATCAGCTAATTACTAGATTTCAATTTAATATTTTATATGTAATGATTAAGGCAAACTTATATTCCAGTCCTTTATAGATTTAATGAAATTTAATTCTTATCCTGGGATTTCTCAGCTTTTAAAATAATATCATATATATACAATACTAAATTAATAATAATTAGGATTTTTATTTTATATTTAAAAATTATTAACTTGTTTATATATAGATTCTTATTGTGATAATCTCATCATTTAAAATAATATCATTATTCACAATACTAAATTAATAATAAAATGTTCATTTCAAACTTAAAAAATAAAAATTATTAACTTGTTTATAGATTTTCATTAAAATAATCCTATTTCTCGCCATTTAAAATATAAATTAATATTCAATATATAAATTTAATAATAATTAAAATATTCACTTCATACTTAAACATTTTTATTGTGATATTAAAAATCTCTCCTCATTTAAATTATTGTCATTATTTATAAGCTAAATTTATAATAATATATTTCATAAGAAAGATACAATTAACTTGTTTATAGAATTATTATTATTTATATTAAGGGATATAGAACATTATAATATCATATTTTAGAATATAAAACAGTATAATATCCTTAATAAAAATTTATATTATTAAGCTTATAAAGGACTGTAATATAGTTTCACCTTAATCAGGCATATATAATATTAAATTAAAATCTATTATATTTCGATCTTATCCTTTATATTTTTTTAAATGAAAATATTTGTATTATATATCACAAAAAACATTAAAAGAATTAGGGTTGTAATGGGTACATGGGTGCCAAATTAGATAATTTTTTTAAGAGCAAATGTAATTAAATATTTATCTTTTACAAAACTTTTTTGACCAAAATAAATTTCCTAAATTTTGCGAAAATATTTTTTATAAAGTTATTTACCATAAATTATAATATTATCAATAAAAATAGTGTTATAGTCACCAGTCTTATTGGAATACTGATTAAATATTTTTAATTTATTTAGACCTCTATTTCATGAGTGTCCCAACTATCACATACGTGTGTCCCAACGTACACAGAGTCTGTTATGGTTGGTGCAAAAAAATATTTCAATTCAATTTTCGAAAAAAATAGTCTTTATAAAATATATATTAATTATTTCAAATAGCCTATACTGATTCAGAAAATGTTTTACTTATTCAGATTAGACAAATATTATTGAAATTATAGGTTTGAACGAAAAGCGCCCCAACCATCCCCGGTTTCCCCTACTTTATTCGAATTTTGGTTGTAATTTTAAAAAAATTCAACGAAAGAACCTTAACAAGCAACTTATAATAAAATTTATTTATTATACATAAAAAAACTATAAGAATATTAATTTTAAAAAAGGAATACGTAATTAGAAAAAGAAGAAAGGGGAAGAGAAAAAAAATTGATTGTTTAAAAATATATTAGACCTGAACTAATAGGTGCAAAATTATCAAATTTCCGGAAATACAAGAAGCATGCAATGCGTTTTCCCCTTGCCTTCCATTTTCCGGGTCTATGTGCCTGAGATTTGGGTTACTTCCTTTATCTTACATATATAATATTTAATTGTTATAGAAAAATGAGCGGGGGCATAAGTACTCCAATAGAGAGCTGATGGAGAAGTTGTTTTGCCTTCGATTACATATTTTAAGTAAAATCTCCAAAAGTGACGATCCAAAAATTAACAACATTTTTTTTTATAAAATTTTTAAAAATTTTATAAAAAAAATGAAAACTATTTTAATTTTTAGTTCTTATAATTTAGGCGTGCCAAAGAGTATTTATTTTAGAGGTATACTTAATTAAATAAAAAAATTAAATGTATTTATAATATTTTTTGTGCGTACATACATAGAAATTTAATAACGGCTTCGACGTCCGCTTCTATACAAGCTTGGTACAAGTCTTTTTGTTTTACGCTGATAGTTTGAGGACTAGGTGCCATTGTTTATTTATTTTTGTATTTAAAATGATCTTCTATTATTATGGTTTATATTTGAGTTATAAGAGTCAATTATAATGGCTTTCTTCTATCTGAATTATACTGATTTTCCCTTAATTATTAAACAACTCTCTATTATTTTTTCTTTTATTCTTCTCTAATTTATTTATTCATTCTCTTCCTGATTCTTTTTGGTTTCTATATGATCATCATATATTCCGAAATCTTCTGAGAAAATATCAAAAATAATAATAAACGGGATGTAAAAAAAATTTATAAGAAAGAAAAAAATAATAAAACACCAAACTTGATATCGGTTTGTGCCAGTTTGTTAACAATAAGCAACAAATTCTCTAGATAAAGAGATTCATTAGCATCATTCCCATCACCGTCTTGTTTAACGTCTGTACTTACCGTAACGCTATTTGTTACCCTTTTCCTAGATTTAGATTTGCATTTGGATGCGCTTGCCATTTTAATACCCGCATTCCATTTTAAACAGTTATTCGAAATAGCGGCCCTTAAGTAGCTTATTATTTTATCTGGGGAAGGTATGGAAGGGGTCATATAGTCTTCGCAATCATTATTGTGGTGCTCTTCATTGGGTGGGTGATTATTGTTGAAGGTCTGAAGAAAATTGGGGTGATTCGTTTCAGTATTATCTTCTGTACTGTACCCGTTATTATGTTCTGAATGCGGCTGTGAGTATTTAGAGGAGCTCCTAGATATCCTGGCTCTTCTACGTAATATTCGATTCGAAAAAGGATCAATAAAAAAGATATCCGATAAAATTATGGCTGAAAATTGAAAATTGGCTGAAATAAATAGTACTTTATAGTAGAGAATCACGGTACTTCCAATTCCCAGTATTTTAATAATTGGCCAATATAATGTATAACAAATATTTATCTAAATGAAAACTTCCCTTTGATGAATTTTACTTTTTAAATTTAAAGGTATTGTAAAAGTGTATGTAAATGATCAATTTAATTTGCATAGGCGTATCCAGGATTTTCGTAAGGGGGAAGGGAAGACTTCTGAGAAGCTTTTTTCGACATAAATTTTATTGGATCGTTTTAAACCCCATCCTTGAAGGTCTTTGGCAGCAATTGGAAAAAAAAATTTGTTTTACACAATTTTTGGCATATTGTACTTTGGAAAGAGGGGTTGAAAGAGTGTGAGGGAATTTTTTATAAACTCAAAATGATATTTATGAAAACTATCAAATTTTGCTAAAGGGGATTTTCTATTTTCACCCCCACCCCCCAACTTTCAACAATGTTAATTTCATTTCAAAATAATAATAATCTTTAAGAAAATGTTTTCACTGACAAGCGTCAAAAAATTAGATATACAAATAGGATAAGTCCTATTCTGAAATATCATAACAAAATATTGAGGCATTAAATATAATATTAGATATATCGGAATCAGCAGAAAAGTCTAAAATTATGCCTTTACTTTATAGGGGTCATGAAAATAAGTAGTTCGCCATCATCGGCCATTTTTTATTTACCGAGACTCGGGGTGTACCAAACTGCTATATCGGAATGAACTCTTATAATTTTCTGAAACAATGCTAAAAATATCGTACTAAATATATATTTCTGAACCAGTATAAAATAAATTGTAATTAAAGTCCATAAGTTTGATAAGTATGACTTTTCCTTGGGAGATTTTAAGCGGTGATTTAAATTTCGCAGCTGATATTAGAGGTCTACATTGGCCAGGTTTTTCGCCCACCCATACTTTAAATTGACATGATAGGGTTTTTAAAATATTTTCAACATTGGGTGGGTGGCTTGCGTGTTAAAAATTTTTTTAACGTAATGGGCGGGCGTGGGCGAGTAAATTTTTGATATTTTTCAGGCGAAATAAGCAGAACAGACTTCAATTTATTAAAAATAATAGTTTTATTTCATAATATTGCATATTATATACGTTTAATTAAAAATACATTTAAATAAATAAATAAAGAGCCAAACCAGCCATTAAAATACTCTTTAACACTAGGCGGTAGGGCGGGTTAAGCAAAATTTATAGATAAATGGGCGGGCGTTTAAAAAAATTATAAGTGAGCAGATAAGCGGGTTAAATAAATAAAACAACGAGTGGGCGGGCTTTTTGGCTAAAACCCGCCAATTGCAAACCTTTAGTTGATATATCCTTTCACATTAAATGTTGATAAGTTTGTTTTTTTTAAAACTTAATATTTGATTTTTTGTTGCTGAATATATTTAATTCTAAAAATTAAAATCAGGGTTATCTAGCTAATCAATTGCCATTTCAAATATAGTTAATTTACCAAAGGGCGGATAAAAAAATTTGAAAATATGGGCGGGCGGGTGGGTAGGTAGGAGGGTTAAGAAATTTAAACAATGGGCGGGCGGGTTAAAGAAATTTTAAATTTTTGTTCAAAAACAAACTAAAGAAAAATCATAATAAATTAAATGATCAATAATAATATTTCTTTTTTTATAATACCAATCGTTTTTTTAAGTGAAGAGCACTTTACTAGTTTTTCTACATCTTTATCTAATTGTTTCCAACATATATAATGTCTCGTAATGGATTTCATTGATGTAATACCCGGATGTCCCGTATGCAATATATGTAAACTCTTTTTTGAAGTGAGTACGAAATGATTAATCTGCCATTTCAAAATAAAATACCGTCATCATTTTCTATTTCATCTATTCTTGTTCTAAAAGCTTGTAATTCTGGTGCTTGATTTTGTATATTTTTACCATTTATAAATATTTTTACTTTCTTAAAATTGGATCTTTTGCGGTTTCCTCTCTAAGTTCTTTTCTTTCTAGAGTTAATGTGTCATAAGTAAGATTTCTTATATATTTCACTGTTTTATTTTCGCTTGTTATTCTATCATCATTTTTCTCTATTGGGTTTCGCGATAAAGCATCTGCAGTTATATTATTAGCGCCATTCTTGTACATTATATCATAATCATTGCAGATAATTTATAAGCCCAAAGTAATAATCTTTGGTTTGTTAATGAGCTTAAATCTCTGCTATTACCAGGTTTGTGGTGTTTTCGTATTTTAAATTTTGGTCCATACAAATAGTTATGAAATTTTTCTGCGCCGTTTATTATTGCTTTTGCTCTGTCTATTGTAGAATAACTCTTTTCAGCGTCTTGTAAAATTCTTGAGGTGTAAGCTATTGGAAATTCGTTATCATTATCATATTTTTGCATACAGCTTCAAATCCTTGGTTAGATGCATTTGTTTCTAATATTAACTCGAGGTCCGGTTTGTAACTCTATACTTTTTATTCTGTTACTATTCCGAATATCATGAAAACGATTACAAAAATAGCATGGTATTTTATTTTGGAATGGCAGATTAATCATTCCGTACTCACTTCAAAAAAGTTGCATACCGGATCTCACTTGAGGAAGAGGATATATTTCAAACGGATATCCTACTTTGGTGGAAACGACAAGAAAGAGATTTGCCAAGGTTATCAAGATTAGCAAGAAAGAGATTTGCCAAAGCTATCAAGATTAGCAAGAAAGAGTTGCCAAAGCTATCAAGATTAGCAAGAAAGAGATTTGCCAAAGCTATCAAGATTAGCAAGAAAAATATTGGCAATTCCTGCAACTAGTGCTTCTTCTGATATCAATTTTATATTTATATTTTTTTCATAAATATTTTATTTGATCAAATAAATTGTCCATAATTTTAATTGATTATTTTTTTTATTAAATTTATTTACTAAATTATAAACTTTTTGTAAGGTGTAATGCTGAAATATTTTTATTAAATACTTAAAAAATTGAAAGAACGGCCATAATTAAATTTCATAAGCGAGCTTGGGTTAAAAAAATTTTATAAATAATGGGCGGGCGGGTAAAAATTTTTAGACTAATAGGCGGGCGGGCGTGTAAGGAACTTTAGACAAATGGGTGGGGTTGCAGAACTCTAGATCAAATACTCTAAAATGTTATTTTTTATATTTTTGCTTAAATATATATCATAATTATTATGTATTTTTTTAAATATCTGTTTATCATAATTTTATATTATATATCGTTTCATAATAATTAATTGTTAATATGTATATTTTAAATATTTAAATGCATAATAATTATAATATAATATCAAAAATTTTGATTAATTTATCTTGGAATTTTTGGAAAATAATAAAAAATTTTCATAAATAATATTTTGCAATGTGATTTATCCAAAAATATGTTTTTTAAAAATTAATATATCGAAGTCGATTCTATTTTTTAAAATTTATTTATTTTTAAGATAAATTTTTGAAAATATAGAAGTGAAGGTTACAGATATTTTACATAAAGCTTCCCATTTATAACTATTGTCTCAGATAAGTGGAGCAATACCCAAAGAAAGCATTATAAATTATATGGCAATGACACAGGTTCCTGTATTTTATAAGTTTTTTAAATACCATGAAAAATCGCCATAAGGAAGATTATATTCCCCAGCAATAAATATAATCGAAGAATTAAATCTTAAAAAAGTGTATTCTTTGGTTAAGGATAATGCGGCTAATATGAAAGCTGCTTATCGACCTATGACCATATTCAATTTTTTAAAATTAACATATACCAAGTGCAGTATTTTCTCTGCAATAAATATAAATTTAAAAATGAGCTTTAAAAGCGTTCTTCATTAAGGAATTTTTTGTGAGATGAAGAACAATTCTGGATGAAAAATTTAAAGATTTTAAATATACTTAAACTACTAAGTCATTGTTGATAATTTAATAAAAAATGAGATATTCTCTTTAGAACAACATAATCGTGCTAAATCCCAATATTTTCTCCATTAGAAGAAGAAAAATTATAAATAAGTTTGAAATAAATAAAAATGATCTAAATACAACTTGTCATAATGCTGCCTACTTAAAGTTCTTCAATATTATGGACGGCACCTTACCAATAATGAATTCGAAAGCTTGTGATATGATAAAAAAACTAAGAATTCTGCAAAATGGTGATAATCACGTCATCTTAGGTGATATAAAAAAAATTCGCTGTAAATGCGGTATATTTGATAAACAAAATAAGTGGAAGAAAATCAATAACCATTAATCAGATTTCGGCATCAAGCTAGTTAAAGGGATTTTGTACACTTTGCCCTTTAGGGAAAGTAGCAAATATCTTATTATCCTTTCAAGTTCAACTTTTGCAGAAAAAAATTGGTCCGCTCGAATAATATTCACACAAAGAGCAGAAATCAATTGAAAACTTTGACTAGGAAAATTAGTTAACGTTTATCATAATTTACGAATTAAAAACATTTTAAAAAATGATTATTCCATTTTAAAATTGGGGGAGATTTTCAGTTGTGGGAGTTTTGCGGGAGAGAGATCGTTGTGTGTTGTGTGTTGACTAAAAAATTGAGAGAGGCTCTCGCTGATGGGGGGAGACCTGGCCATGCAATTCCATTATGATGACAAATGGACACTATGTTTTTGAAAAATTCACTTGTTTAAAAAGGGACAATGTGTGACTAAAAAGGCGACAATAAATTACAAAATTTCAAAACCTGAAAAAAACTTTATATTTTTTTCTAAAACCTTTTTTAATTTTAAACTACTGAACCATATCCAAACCGTAACCTTTATAAATAACGGTTCGGGTCCCTGTTTACCGAAGCTTGGCATATAAAAACTAAATGAATGTTAAATAAACGGTTCAAAGCATAAAATAAGAATTGAAAACATAATAACTTTAAAATTATTTTACTTGGGCACTGGTAACAAATGTTCGATTTTGACCATATTTACGGGCAACTTTATGGTTATCTTTGAAGCTATCAGGCTTAGTAACTTCCAACAATGAGGGCAATGAATTTGATCATTATTTTCTTGAACTTTTTCGCCTTTATCTTCTTTTTGATTATTATTCGAGCCATTGCTGTTTGAATCGCTTTTAGTAGCTTTGCGAGAGACTAGAATTCATTTTTTTTTAAATTTAATTTAATGTTTGCAATTATTTCTCTCTTGTTTTCTTTTCCTTTATTTATTAACAATGATTTTAAGTCATTTAATTCATCAATATAATATAACTATAAAGTGACGCCTGTACAGATTTATATATAAACAGTTAAAGTATTAAATTTTTACTGGTTTTTCTTATGCATATTTTTTATAAATATCGATAACCATTAATGTATTGTACATTGATACATTTACTTTAAAAAAAATGATTACAATTATGGTAACCTAACCATAAAATATATCTCCAAAAATTTAAATTTCAAAATTGAAGATTTACTATAAAAAAAATGAAATCTCGAAATATATTCATTTACCTTGTGTGCTTAAGTCTCCTAAATTTTCATTTGATCGTTCGATATCATCCTGGAATTTAGTTTGGGAGTAAACAGTAGCGCAATAGACGTGGGAGAGGTGCAAAATTCTCTTTTCTTTCAATTTTTTTTCGTCACTTAGTTCGTTAATATCTATCAAAGGAGCCATAGGGATATTGTTGAAGCAAACCAAAAATTCGCCCTATACAGAGTATACATTCAGATTATATTTAATTTTTTTTAAAAAATTATTTACCTGAGTGCAAAAAACTCCACAAATTGGACAACAATGATGGTGTTTAAGTCTTTTCTTATGAACTTGACACATGTAGGAAAACATTATTTTTGGGGCCGGACGACACATTTCAATGAGGTTTACGGGATTTAAGCATCCCACAAGCTTTTATAATAAAATGAACGTGTCTTTATGTATTATATATTTATATATATACTGATAACAATATTAATAATTTATTATGTTCAAATCTTAATAAAACCTATATATGTATATTGATAATGTTTCATATAGCCAAATAAAGATTTATTTACTAAATAATTTTTTAAAAATATGAAAATATATATTTATTTTAAAAATGTGTTTCTTAGGTTCCAATTTTTTTAGTTCTAGTGTTTTAATAGTTTTTTTACCTATAAAAATTCAAATATTATAATAATTTTTAACCTGGTGTAATAATTTCAATAATTTTACTTTGTCATCCACACTATCTTTGGCTTGGCAGAGATTCGGTTTTTTAAAATAAGGATTTTTAATGGCAGGAAAAGTACAGGTACATAGAGGGGCTAATAATTCTTTCTCTGATACCTTTATTATTAGATAAGATATATAATGATTCCAAAAAAATTGCAGAAATCAGCTTATTTTTTATTATATCCCTGCAAGTAAAAAATGGGTTCCAGCTTATTAATAGATTTTAAAAATTGGGTCTACTTCCAAAAAATTGAACAAATTTGTCTCTTTTTTGTTAAATGTTTTCAATCCAGAACCGGTATCATATTTTCTATATTTAGATCCAACCGATTTAATTAAACTGTTCTTTTTTCAAAAATATATTAAGGTATTTATTTTTAAAAGTGAAAATATAAAAGAAAAAGTAATTTTTTATATTTGTTTAAAATTTAATGTGGAATTAATAAGCAAAGTACGTATCATTACAACAAAGAAATACAATTTTCATATTTTTTAAGTAATTTAAACTGTCGATTACTAATTTGTTGAAGATAACCCGGCCTAACATAAAATCTAAGGCATCGTATGTCCTGAATCCGGAAGGCGTCTTTCTACTTCTTTCCAAAACCCCCTTTCTAACTTTTCTAGTCACATAACACTACTACCCGTTCAATAACACCTACATACCTATCTCATCATATACATTTATTCCCCTACCACCTGCCACTCGTGTCATTATCAACATCCTAAAATCTGAAACTCCCCTTATCCCTAAAATTAATAAAGGTTCTAGAGTACAAGTAGCCAAAGTCCTTTCCACCTGTCCTCTTATTAAATAACTTTTCCTCTCTTGATTATTGGCTCAAACTTTTTCCATTTTCCTTCACCACCCTCCAATCTCCATACCCAGAAATCCAGATATCTTTAACCCAACAAATCAAAGAGGCAACCTTACATCCCCTCACCCTTATAACTACTGCAACCCCTCATAAAAACCAAGCTTTTTAGCCTCCAATTAAAGGCCAAGATAATTTCTAACAATATAAATATTAAATATCGCTCCTGCTATTCTTTGCCATATTATCTCAAATTCAACAATTATTTACTTTCATCATAAGATGGGATCCAACAAGGCGATCCTTTGGTTCGCTACTTTTCTGCATAGGCATTAACGAAATGGTCAAAAATATTAGCGCCTATTGTAATCTTCCATTGCACACCTGGTACATCTATGATGGAATAATCTGTGGCTCCCCTAAAAAGTCGTAAAGAAACTAGTCATCATTAAAACACACTCCTAAACAATTGGACTTTCACTTAACGAAAAGAAACCTTAGACCTGCAAAATATCCCATTCATCCTTAACTTCCACATAACAGAACTCTCGTCCCATACTCATCTTGGCTCCCCAGTTGGTGGTTTAAAATCCATCAATCACTTCTTCATAACTAATCCTTCATCTAGCCTACTTCATTTTAAAACATCTCCAAGCATCACCCTCCTCATCAAGCTTCTATCTTCTCAAAACTTTTATTATATTCCGAAAATTCTTCGTCATTCGATCTTCCTCAATTTTCAAATTTCCTGATTCATTAAAATAATCTGAAACTTGTGTAAATCTCCCATTGAAAATATCCTTACTTTCCGATTTAATCATAACTCAATGTAAACTTCAAAAATGCCAGCTTACCTTCTCTCTAACCCATTCTATCAATGGATTCGTCGATTTCCGGTTATAGTTTCTGGTAACCATACACTCCACCAACCGATTTGCTGGCTGATGAGCTATGATTTGCTATTGGATTACGGCTCAACTGAGAGATTGTTATGTCAAAGTCGTTTTCCATAGCCCACCAAATGTAACATCATTTTGTGCTCTTAAATCTGCAGGTATTCCCTCTATACTAGAACCAACTAGCATATTTAGAACCGATGGAAAATAACCTGAATGTCCTTAATTTCTTGTTAAGGGGTTTAGTTTCTGGTTTAGGACTTCAACTGTATTGATCCAAATGTACCATCCAACCACAACATCGATGCTCTGGCCCTTGCAGAAACCTTAAAAATCACCAAATACATCTCTCAAAACTTCTTACTCGTTCACACCAATTGTCTGTTTTCTAACTCATTCACACCAATTGTCTGCTCTATTCTTACCATTTTTGGCAGCAATGCTTAATACTTTGGGATTAGGGAGATGGATTCGTGAAAAGATTGATCAGCCTAAGGAATCTCTTTTTTTACAACAAAAGCTTGCTACCACAAATAGGTTCAAACTAGAGATCTGCAAAAGTAGGCCGGACCCATTATTTTTAAAAAAATCGGGTTTGGACTGGGTCAGGCCTAATATTTTTTAAAAAAATTTGGGCCGGGTCGAATCGGGCCTTGAAAATTTTTTTAATCTAAATTTATCAATTTTATATTGAATTTTTTATGTAAAATAAAAATATTTGATTTTATTCATAGAAACTAGATGACATATAACATATGTCTTTTATTTTGAATAATTATAAAAATTAATATCTATATTTAAATAAATTCGGGCCGGGTAGGACCAGTAAATTTTTTTTTTAAATTTCAAGTTCGGGCTTGGCCGGCAAAACTTTTTTAAAAAAAATTAGGGGCTCGGGCCAGGCCGGCAAACTTTTGTAAGAAAAATTTTGAGCCGGGCCGGATTCAAAAAATTAGGCCCAATGCAGATCACTAGTTACAACCATATTTCTTCCATCAACTGATCGTCCATGCCTCCTTATAATTTCTTTCTTCCATTCAATCACCTGAACCTGAACTGAATCTCTAAAAACGTCTATAAACCGTGTTGAACCACTTGATATTTTAAATCTTTTAAAGATGATTAATAATCAATTATGGCTAAAAAGTATCAGTAATTATTATTATATTTTTTCTATATCACTATTTCACAGTGCTAGCTACCCAATGCAAATAGAAGAGTTCTAAGCGTAAAATTCATTATCTCTCCTTACAGATATAATTTGACAAAAAAGAATCATGTATTTTAGTTGCATATGGCTAAATATTATTAGAGAACAGTGATAAATTTTAAAAAATCCTTTTATTACATATCCTAATACCCTTGATTGCTGTCTGAATTGGTTATATTGAAACCAAACCAATATATTATTTTTACTGAGCCTAAATCTTTATTTGAAGCTAAACCTGAACCAATAATTCTTACTGTGGATACTTGCTATTAGGAGTTTTCCCACATAATTTTTATTGGAAATCATTAGGTCCAATTATTATAAGCCTTTGGCTGTTACATTTTTATAAAAATAATAATGGTTTTCATTTTTTTATATAAAATATGTTTTTTCTAAAATATTGGATTATAGTCAATATTTTAAAAAATTATTAACTTTTGCTTATTTTTTTAAAAATTATGTTTATAGTGATTAGGCCTATTCAAAAATAATTCGAATATTGAATACGAATAATAAATTATTTGTTTTATCTGAATACGAATAATCATTTATTCGATTCGAATAAAACGAATTATACGTAATATTTAATAAATTGTTTAATAAATCTAACATTTGTCATTTCTATTCGTTGACCTGCCAATCTGACAGGTGATGTGTTTGTGTTTTTAAAAATTCTAGCACAAATTTAAAAATTTCTAGTGAAAATTTAAATTTTTATTTGCCATATTTTTTGCATCTCACGAAAAATTTATTTTTTGAATCTCATAATAAATTGTATTAAAAATTACATAAACCAGAGATATATAAAAATATATTACATCTCTACAATAATTATTGTTAGCTAGCCTAGTTAGAGGAGAATTCTTCTGATGAAATTATGCTTGATGTTGAAGATGAGAAATTTCCTCACAAAAGAGAGCAATCATATGGGATCAATAACAAATCCTTAAAGACGGTGAAAAGGCTGCTTGCAATCATTGCAAGAGTATTATAAAATGTAAAGGCAAAACAACATATCCTCTTATTAATCATTATTATAGGTTTCATTCACACCTTAGTAAAAAAAAATAATAAAATTGACATTTTTTTAAAGTCTACACCAAATTCTTCAAAAAAAAATTAATTTTAAGAATAATTTATTAAAATAATTGATAAATAATAATATACTTTTAAAATTATTAATTCAAATGATTTTAAAAATTTTATAAGTGATCTTGATTGTTTTGTAAAATCAATATGCTCCAATACTCTTTTAAATTGCACATGTATAATATATTTGCAGAAAAAGAACAGTTGGTAAAGGAAAAATATATAAAAATAAAAGTCAAATTAATTTTTCATCTGACATTTGGACTAGCAACTCAGGTTCCTTTTTTAGGGCTAACAGCCCATTTTATTGATGATAATTTTAAAATAAATAAGATAATTTTGGATGTCAGTCCATTAAATGAAACATATTCAGGTGAAAATATATTTAAAGCCTTTGTTAAAATAATTAAAAATTATAATTTAGAGAATAAAATTTTTTATATAACTTTAGATAATGCAACTAATAATAAAACATTTATTGATACATTTTCTTTAAAATATCCATTAATAAAAATAGGGCACATCCGATGCTTTGCCCATGTAATTAATTCAATATCCAAAGAAATTTTAAAAATTTTAGATCCTTTAATTCTAAAACTAAGAAACATTATTAGAATGATTCGTATGTGGTGGAAGGCAAATGCATATCAGATCCCCATACTCTCAAAAATGGCAAGGGATTATCTATCTATACAAGGAATATCATCCGCTTGTGAAAGGCTTTTCTCAGTTGGAACTAATTTATTGTCAAAAAACCGCATGTCATATAAGGAAGAAAATAAAAGAAAAACTCTTTGCCTTAAAAATTGGCTTAAATTATAAATTAAATTAATAATATATTTTAATTTTTTTTATAACTTGATTATATATTTTTATTATCAGATTATTGATTACATATTATTATAATTTTTTCTGTTTAAAATCAAATTTGTAATAAAAAAATTTGTCAATATATTTGAGTATGATTTACTTTATTAAAAAAATTAATTTGAATTATTTGAATAATTCGAATTGAATACAAATAGTAGATTTTATTATTTGTACAAAATATGAATAATGCACTATTCGATTCGAATTCATTTTTGAATAGGCCTAATAGTGATATATTGTATACTGGGAATGGGGGGGGGGGGGGGGGGGGGATTTTTATTAACTTAAAATGATATTAACAAGAACCGGAAAATTTTTTAGGGCCTGGTTATACCTATGTATTAAATGATATTAATGGGAAATAAATAAAATATATAAGTAAATGGATGTTATGGTGCATTGTGGGTGATTAGGCATATGTTTGTATTTTTTAAGGTCAGATAATCATACCATTTTTTGGCCTTGTCCTATACTTCTCTGATTAATTGAAGTGTTAAATAATATATATAAATTCAACAGAGTTGTTAAAGTATCTAGATATAAAAATGTAGTATCTGTATCTAGATAGATTTTTTAGAAAGGTATCTGTATCTAGATATTTTTTTAGAGGTATCTGTATATGTTTTTCGATACTTTTTAAGATACATGTTATATACCCCTTTTTTTATTATAAATAAAAATATTTGACTGTAAAATTTATTTTATTTCATATGAGCTTATAATATAAATAAATATATATATATTATATATTAATATTTATTAATACTATAATAAAGAATTATATATACATAAAATATTAAAACTTATATATAAAAAATATATATAAATATTCATTAATTTAAATATTATGTCCGAGTTTATCAATAAACCATACAAATTTTAATATTACAATATGGAAATGGTAAATTTTATTTTATAACTAAATTTTTAAGTTTATATATTTATTTAGATCTATATCGATGAAAAAGAGGAAGCAACAACAAGTTCTATTGCTTTACCATGACCTTTTCACAATATAATATTAATTTAGGTTTATGCAAACCTATAAGAGCATAATAAAAAATTGTATCTGTATACAGATACATTTAATTAAAAATTGTATCTGTATCTTGATAACTTTTTAGACGCTGTATCTGTATCTAGATAACTTTTGAGACTATGTATCTGTATCTAGATCCATTTAAAAAGTATCTTTTAACAACTCTGAAATTCAATAATAATTGATTTAAAATATAATAACATGCAACATAACAATTTTATTAAATTAAATATTACTTGAAATTTGTCATCTTTTTCAGTTTTAAAAATGGAATTAAAATTTTATATATTAATAATATAGCTTACATTTTTGTTCATTGGTATTATGTCCATCCTAAGCAATATTATATAAACATTTTTATATGGAAAATTATAATAACTTTATCATTGATATTATCAATTCCATTAGATAATCTTGAAAACAAATTATCTTCATTTGAATTTATTTTATGTAAAGTATTATAAATTTCATCTTCTTTATAGTCAGGTTTTGGTTTTCCAACTAATCTATGATTGTGTTCAATATTTACATCATTAATTTGTATTTCTGTATCTTTCTATAAGGCAAATTTTTATAAGTTAGAAATAAAACATGCCTACTTTATTTTGATTCAAAATCTTTTCTT